ACCCGGAGGAAATTTAAAAACCATGTGATACAATAATAAAGCAAATGGATGTGTTTCATGGCTCCGTCTCAGTATTTGGCACCTGCTTCACACTGTGTCCCAGTGAGCTATGTGGGCGGGGCGACCTCTGCCAGCAGCACCCCGGTGTCAATGCGAGGGCGAGTTGCCAGGTTGGAGCTAATGTGACTCCGTGGCATCATCATTTGTCACAATTTTATTTTTACCCCTTTGCCACGTTCACAAGCAGAACTGGCAACCGCTAAAGTAAAGATACACGTGTTCGGTCCTATTAATGAAGTCAATGTGTGAAGTCAAGCGCAAAATTAGCAACGCACATCGAAGCTAGTTAGAAGCAGGGCTAACCACGATAAATCAATAATCATACCCATTGTTAGAAGCATGGCTAATCACTTTAAATCCAAATTTGTAAACTTTAAGTAATAAGAATCTACATTTTTTAGTTCATGTTTAAAGTCAAGCGCAAAACTAGAAACGCACGTGGAAGCTAGTTGGAAGCTGTGTCTGGAATTAGAAGCATGGCTGATCGCTATAAATCTACAGTCATACACTTTGTTAGAAGCATGGCTAACCACTTCACATCTAAATTTGTAAACTTTAAGTGATAAGAATCTACATGTTTGACCTATTCATGAACTTTGAAGCCCTGCTAACCACCACAAGCCCCTATTTATGAATGTAGAAGCACAGCTAACCGCTTTAAAGGCACACCGTGTAACTCTTGGCCACTAGGGGCGCTAGACCTGCAACTTTCACGTTTAGCGCCCCTAGTGGCCACAAGCAACTCAGCACTGTCGCAAAAGTCAACAAACAGTCAGCCGGTGTCTTTTGAGTGTGTATTCAGACAGCATGCACTGGTGTGTGTGTTCAAACTGTAGAGACATGCCTACAGATATTGAGAGACTCTGCTGTGGTCAGCCTCCAGACCGCTGCATTAGTAATCTACCACACATGGACTTCTATATCCTGGATGAGGGAGTTCTGCGTCTAGCTCGTGCTGCGTGGAATGACATCTTTGCAGTCGATGACATCCAGGAACCAGGTGAAGAGCAGCGCTCATACAGACATGCAGCTTACAGCACGATCCCTTTCGCGTTTCTCTTTTTAGCCTCCTCCGAAGGTTTCAAATTTTTCCTTGCCTCAGCCATGACCAGGAGTCGAGCAGGTGAAAAATGAGTAGCAATAGCCTTAGCTCCATGAGTATATCAGCGCCTGTAGCCGTAAAGCAAGTCTTTCTTCCAAGTCACGTGACCTGGTGGCAGACGGTCCGTCTGCTCGAAACTTACATGGGCGGTATTTCAAGAGGGCAGCCCCGCTCGGAGCATTGCAAGTGTCAAGCGCTGTATATTGGCCCAAGTATTCATATAAAATAACTCATATGTGTCAACTCTTTAGGTCACAAAGTCCGCGGTGTGCCTTTAAGTCTAGACTACTTAAAAATCTTTGTTTATGAAGTCATATTTTTTTGACTTATTAATGTACTTAAAGCATGACTACTCACTTTAGGCTGTAAATATGCTATACAAATAAATCTGATAATGATATTAACATCAATGATCTTAGAAGCATTGCTAGCCACCAACCTCTATTCGTGAGCATGTGACAGCTTCGTGATACACTGCTTTGTGTGTTCTTATCTCAACGTTTTTCAAGTAAAAAGTAAAACGCGCACACAAAATACTCAAACACAAATGCTAAAGCTGTAACACAAGTGTAACGCAGTTTCAGACTGCAAATAAGAGAGAGAGAGAGTGAAAGTGAATGCGTGAGTATGTGTGTTTTGAGGTGTTTTGAAGTGTTTTGATGTGGATGTGTGTGCGTGTGTGTGTGAGAGAGAGAGAAAGAGAGAGAAAGAAAGAGAATGAGAGTAAGTGTATGTGTGTGTGAGAGTGTGTGTTGACGGATCTGTGTCTGTATGGCTGTTTCTATATAGGTACGTGTATGTATGTGGATATACAGTGCCTTGCGAAAATATTCGGCCCCTTGAACCTTTCAACATTTCGCCACATTTCAGGCTTCAAACATAAAGATATATAAAAAAAAAAGTTTTGTCAAGAATTAACAACAAGTGGGACACAATCGTGAAGTGGAACAAAATTTATTGGATATTTTAAACTTTTTTAACAAATAAAAAACTGAAAAGTGGGGCGTGCAATATTATTCGGCCCCCTTGCGCTAATACTTTGTAGCCCCGCCTTTTACTGCAATTACAGCTGCAAGTCGCTTGGGGTATGTCCCTATCAGTTTTGCACATCGAGAGACTGGAATTCTTGCCCATTCTTCCTTGCAAAATCGCTTGAGCTCAGTGAGGTTGGATGGAGAGCGTTTGTGAACAGCAGTCTTCAGCTCTTTCCACAGATTCTCGATTGGATTCAGGTCTGGACTTTGACTTGGCCATTCTAACACCTGGATACGTCTATTTGTGAACCATTCCATTGTAGATTTGGCTTTATGTTTTGGATCATTGTCCTGTTGGAAGATAAATCTCCGTCCCAGTCTCAGGTCTTTTGCAGACTCCAACAGGTTTTCTTCCAGAATGGTCCTGTATTTGGCTCCATCCATCTTCCCATCAATTTTAGCCATCTTCCCTGTCCCTGCTGAAGAAAAGCAGGCCCAAAGCATGATGCTGCCACCACCATGTTTGACAGTGGGGATGGTGTGTTCAGGGTGATGAGCTGTGTTGCTTTTACGCCAAACATATAATTTTGCATTGTGGCCAAAAAGTTCGATTTTGGTTTCATCTGACCAGAGCACCTTCTTCCACATGTTTGGTGTGTCTCCCAGGTGGCTTGTGTGTGTTTAAACAAAACTTTTATGGATATCTTTGAGAAATGGCTTTCTTCTTGCCACTCTTCCATAAAAGCCAGATTTGTGCAGTGCACGACTGATTGTTGTCCTATGGACAGACTCTCCCACCTCAGCTGTAGTTATCTGCAGTTCATCCAGAGTGATGAACTGCATGGGCCTCTTGGCTGCATCTCTGATCAGTCTTCTCCTTGTTTGAGATGAAAGTTTGGAGGGACGGCCGGGTTTTGGTAGATTTGCAGTGGTCTGATACTCCTTCCATTTCAATAAAATGGCTTGCACAGTGCTCCTTGAGATGTTTAAAGCTTGGGAAATCTTTTTGTATCCAAATCCGGCTTTAAACTTCTCCACAACAGTATCTCGGACCTGCCTGGTGTGTTCCTTTGTCTTCATGGTTCTCTCTGCGCTTTAAACAGAACCCTGTGACTATCAAAGAGCAGGTGCATTTATACGGAGACTTGATTACACACAGGTGCATTCTATTTATCATCATCAGTCATTTAGGAAAACATTGGATCATTCAAAGATCCTCACTGAACTTCTGGAGTGAGTTTGCTGCACTGAAAGTAAAGGGGCCGAATAATATTGCACGCCCCACTTTTCAGCTTTTTATTTGTTAAAAAAGTTTAAATGATCCAATAAATTTTGTTCCACTTCACGATTGTGTCCCACTTGTTGTTGATTCATGACAAAAAATTAAAATTTTATATTTTTATGTTTGAAGCCTGAAATGTGGCGAAATGTTTAAAGGTTCAAAGGTGCCGAATACTTTCGCAAGGCACTGTATGTGTGTGTATATATGTTTATGTGTGTATATATGTATATATATATGTGTATGTGTGTGTGTGTGTGTGTGGATATATGTGTGTGTATATATGTTTATGTGTGTATATATGTATATATATATATATATATGTGTATGTGTGTGTGTGCGTGTGTGTGCGTTTTATGAGTCTGCTATGTGAGACATAGAGGCAGCTGGAGTCATGGATCCCTATCGACTTTAGCATAGGTGGTGTACAGAAGCTAACTGTCAACAAAATACATCAATATATATGTGTGTGTGTCTGTGTGTGTGTGTGTGTGTATACGTGTGTTGTCAACAAAAATTGACAATGGAAATAAGATTAATCCATAACACAGACAGCTGCAGACACTGATTTACATATCATGACTAACCACTTTAAGCCTATGTGTATGAACTTAGAATAATGGTTAACCACCTCAGTCCTGCTTCGAGTGTGTTCGCCAATGCGGAAGTACCGTTTAATAATAAAATAAACTTATTGCGCACCTCCATGAACACATTCTACTGTTATATAAAGTCCGTGGAAGGTCTCTGAACACAGACACGCTGCAAAGCTGCATTATTGGAGAAGATCTGTACACAAGAACCCGCTAGCTAGGACTTCTGGTCTGAAGACTTCTGCGTCTGAAAACTAGAGAATGTGCATTTCAGCGTTGGCGGTCTGAAAGCACCATAAGACGGTTGCTAAGGCACGACAGTGTTTGACCCACGAATGCTGGGATCTGATTGGTCGATTCTTAGACGGTAGCAACTGAGTAGGAGGAGTTTACTTTTCGATGCAAGTGAATAGGAGCCAGAGCAAGTTGGAGAAAAACGTTGTCCTATTGAGCTAGTGGGTTAGCATTGTCCGTCTATATACAGTCTATGCTACATGCTAAATCCTTATGTTTGTATTGCAAAGAATCTCAAACTAACCACTTGGGGAGGATTTGTTTAAAACCCACTCAGACATTTACAACTAAACTTCTTTTCCACTTTACTCAATTCAATTATTCGAACACGAGATTAAACACAATCTGAGATTAGGAGCTGCTCAGATTAGAGTAATCTTGGTGAGTGCTGTTTATCTGTGTGTGTAGTGGGAGAAGGAGGAGTGGCATACAGACACACCTACATACACACACACCCACACACGCACACACACACACACACACAGCAGGACCTATTTATACCGGAGAGCTCTCACCAGCGGAGACCCGGCGGAGACATACAAACCTGGACCATTCCTCGGATACTTCGGGCCAGAGCGTTTCTATTACCCCCCCGGGCATAAGCCGTTGGAGGATGTGTTGCAACTTTCACAACTGAACTGACCCGACTGGATACTACACAACTTTATAATCAGCAAATATTAGAGGAGACAGGAGACATGCCTGAGGAGAAAGGTAATGAGGTTTTGGTGGTTTTTGACAAGTTTTATGGGATATGACGAGGGTTTTTGTCCAGGTTGGAGTTTAGTTTATGTCATCTATGTGTTTTTTATGTTCCTCTCTAGAGCTTATACTACTGATACTGCTGACCAATATTGCCAACTTTTTATACTGCTTTAGTCCGTAGTTTTGGACATAGAAAACATATATGTGATGATTCTAACATTGATTGCTTCATGATTGTTTGTTTATGGGACAAGGTTTAAATGAGCTGATATTATTTATCTGTTTTTCATGTTCCTCCCTGGAGCCTGTGATACTATGGACCTATATTGCTGTTTTTTTACTGTTTTAGTCCATAGTTTTGGGTAAAGAAATTTTATATGTTACTGTTTGTTTATGGGGCTCAGAAATACATAGGAATAGGCTTCACTCTCTCCTTTAGTCTAGGCAAGGCAAGGCAAGGCAAGTTTATTTATATAGCACAACACAAGGCAATTCAAAGTGCTGAACAAAATAAGAAAGCATTAAAATAAAAAATAATCACAGAACATTAAAAAGAAAGCTAAAAATATAAAATCCCTCAGTTGTATGCACAGCTAAACAGAACTGTCTTCAACCTGGTTTTAAACATTGTCATTGAGGAGGCCTGTCTCACATATCAAAATGTCTATTCACATTTTGATATTTGTGTATTTATGTTTTGGTTTTTTCTCAAAATGAATGAATGAATGACCTTTTACTAGACCTACACTGGGGAATCTTATTATCGTCATTCATTCAGTGATTATAATAAACATACAAGGACAAGACAGACATAGACAAGTTAAAAATCCATAATTATTATTGTTATTAACAAAGTGATCTGACTGAAGCTATTTCCTGAAATGGCATGTTTTTTAGTTTTTAATTAAAGTTGGGGATGAGAATAAAAATAAAGGAAAAACTATAAAAAAATAATAAAAAATACTAACAATTAAAATAAAATAAAAATCCATACAAAAATAAATACAAATTAGAATAAAATAAGACAATATAACTATAAATATTTAAACAATCAAAATAAATTAACAGAGAATAAATAAGATGGAGGACCACACATCTCACACAGTATTGAAATCCATAATATTGAGTTAGAGAACAAACAACATGAAATATCAATAACAAAAAGTGACCCCAGTTTTAACACATGACAAAACCAAAATCTAGAATAAGTTATTACACAACAAACACACACCGCCTGGAGCTGGACAGATTTGCAGTTATGTAATACACTTAAAGGCAGAAGCAGTATCCTTGAGCTCCAAGGCCAGTCTGGAGGCACGTCCCTGGCTCTGGGCTGCCACTGGGACCTCAGCCATTTAGGCCACGGGTGAAGGGGAAGTCTCTGTAATGGTTCTGCAGCCGGGAATCTGAGCTCACAGAGACCTCGGGCTTACTCTACAACTTCTAATCAGCTTTTTATCTCAAAGTGGCGTGACCTCGCTGAGAACATAGCTAAGATTGTTACTGCGTGATTGTGCTGTTGGGATAGTTGCTTTTGGGAGAGATTTTCACTCATTTTCGAGTCCTTTATGATGATTTATGGCTACAGATTATGATTAGTACCGTGATAATGTTTCTCTATCTGCAAAACACGACATCGATTAGCATTGTCTCACAGGCGTTTTGGCTCAAATGAACTCCCCAAGGTTTCTCACTCTGTTGTTCTTTTTGAGCGGCTCCTTGCAGACACAGGAGGGTCTAAGGCAGGCATGTCCAAACTCAGGCCCGGGGGCAGATCGCGGCCCTCTGTGTCCTGCCATGTGGCTCTCTGTCTTGCTAACCCAAACTAGCCGCTGAGATTATAAACACAAGTTCACAGAGTCATCCATCCAACTTCAGCCCCACCATCACCTCGTTGTAAAGCTCAGACCCTTTGATCTCATACAGTATATGGCGCTAATGCAGCTGTGGTGTGATAGTAAGCTAGTAAAGGTCTGTCAAATGTGAATCTATTTGGACTTATCATTCCTCATTTTAAAACTCATATTAGTTTGGACACCCCTGGACAGTGATGATTTAGGGACATTTTAAGGACAATAACCAATGACTCTTATGTGTGTGTTTTTATTGCATTCCCTGAGTTTGCACTGTTTGATTCTCTGATCTCTGTCTGAAATTGACAACTTTGTTAAGTCTTCCGCTGTTGTGATTTAAGGTTGTACAAAAATACATTTAAATGGATTGAAATTGAATATAAATAGGGGAGTCCAAAGGGCCTCGTTTCTGGACTGCACAACAGATAAAAATACATAAATATGAAATTAATGATGCACATGTGTTTCTGAGAATATAGCTACAGTTTATAGAAGACAAAAGCACAAAGGTTTTCTATGATACTGTCAACTTATTTACTCTTTAAATAAGTGTTTTCAGGTCTATACACTCAAAAACATTCAATTTATTGGACTCTGGAATCTGTCAAATTGTGGAAAAATTGTGTATTAAATTCAAATCCATTTGTTTTTGTGTTGCCCTGAATCACAAAAGCAGTCGTCTGTCAGATAAAATCCATACATGTTGATAAAAATCCATCAACGTTGTTGAGTGTGGAGTTTCCTGGATCATCCCCACTGTCCTTAGACCCTCCATGAACCCTAAACTCTAACCCCCAACACTTCCATTTGCAAGTGTTTGCTAGTTAGCATCATCCATCTATAGACAGTCTATGCAGCTTAAGGTTTTCCTCTGGATACGTCTCTTTCTCTTGCTTATTTATGTACAGCAGTGTCTCCCAAAGTGGGGTCCGCGGCCCCCTGGTGGGCCGCGAGGGTACTGCAGGGGGGCCGCGGGAGGTCATAAAAAAATAAAAATAAAAAAAATAATTATTTAATGTTAAATTTATAATGTTTTGTTTGTAATATTAAAATATTTGTGTTCATTATTTGACTTGAATAATCCACTGTAATCATTTTTGTATTACAATGTTTGTAGCAGAGGCTATTTCCCCAAAATAAAATAACCAGAAGAGCCTATTTTTAATGTTGTCTTCTTGGTTATTATTTTGGGGGGGCCACGCAGACCCGTCAGATTTTTAAGGGGGCCTCGGTGTTACTGAGTTTGGGAATGGCTGATGTACAGTATATACTTTACTTTTAACTTGACTCTTGGTCCTTTTTTTCCACTTCTTGTTGTCACGGTCCGTGGAGTGTGTGGTGTGTAGTTGTTTTGCCTCCATGGAAACACACAAATACACACAAAGATGCCGCAGTGTGACAAGGCCGATATGGTGATGTGTGTGGAGCCACGCCGTCACACCTGCACACACATACATACATACACATATGGACACGTACACGCACCCACACACACACACACACATGGACACGCAGAAATTCACATACACAAACACACATGCACATGGACACACACACATACACACAGAGACCACAAACACGCACACGCATGGAGACCACAAACACACACAGACAGAGACACACATAGACACAGAGATACACACAGAGAAACACACACGCACGCACACACGCACACACACACACACACACACAGAGTATATCCGGGGACTATGGCGTCAGGCCTGGCCCGGGCTCAGTCTCCCAGACGCCCAGCACCATTCTGCACATGCCTGGCTGCTATTAAAAGTCCCTCCATTTCTCCTCATTCAGATTCATCCTCGTTATAACCGTTAGTCCGGTCAAATATGTGAAGAGGATGACAGACATTTGAGGCCGTGCGTGTGACATGCCTCGAGTTCTTCCCAAAGTGACCTTTTCGGTATGGAGCGCACTTAGCGAGTCATTGGGAAGAGGGTAAATCTCAGAGGACGTGTGATAGATTTAGTGCTGCAGAAATTCAATTCATGTATCTAGTCATGTATGAGTCAAAGCAGCAATATGTAAGATTTTCATGTCAAGTCATCATTGAAGGGCCCTAATCTGTCATCATTAAAGGGTTATGATTCTCAAATCATTAACGACAAAACAAGGAATAAAATCAGGATTTATCTTTTTGTGAAAAAGGTGTTGGTTATAGATTTGTTGTTGACTAAACTATTGTCTATTCAGCTGTTATGGTCCCAACTGGATTCGTCTGCATATCTGGCAACCTGAGTCAGGGAGAGTGGGAGAGGCTGCAGTACCACCTTTGGCCAGATTTTACATACTGCTCCTTTAAAACTGAGATGCCTGGACACAAAACCAAAATCTATCTAGGACCTCGGTCTCAAAACGCTTGGGTTGAATCACTCGGCAAAGCAAGTTTATTTGTATAGCACCGTTCATACACAAGGAAACTCAAACTCAATGAGGCACTTTGACAGTGTCATCCAACCAACTTCAGCTCCACCAATACAGTCATGCTATACCTTGTAAATCTCAGACCCTCTGGAATCCACTCGTTTACTCTATTGTTATTTACTGGCATTTGTTTTATGATTGTGTCACAACAAATCCAGTTTTTTAAGTCCAGGTTTTCGGCCTCAGGTCAAGTCTGATAAACTAAAGTGGCCATCTTGCTAAAAAGTTGCACCCCTGCCCTTAGTGAACCCATGATCATGACTCAGTTTTGCCAATGTCACACTCCCTCTCTCCGTACAGTACATGTGTAGGATGAAGGGTGCGTTGGTTTAGTGCATGCTGTGGTCCCTGTGTAGAATGAAGGGTGCGCTGGTTTTGTGCATACTGTGGTCCTTGTGTAGGTTGAAGGGTGCGTTGGTTTCGTGCATACTGTGGTCCCTGTGTTGGCGTCTGGCATCCTGTGTGTTTGATTGCGGCTGCTCCTCTGCCCCCGGTGCCAAAGCTGCGAGGCGGATCCGGACAGAACAGCTGACACCGAGCTTTGGACAGAAGTGCGGCTCCATGACTCATGCTGTTTCTGTGCACGTGCTCCCAAAAAGCAGCTCCAGCTCCATCAGCCGCAGTCGGTGACTTAGTGTCGGACCTGTCACAGTGATTACTGTAGTGACGTTTTGTTCAATAACTGATGGATGCAATGTATTTTGGGTTTAATTTTTG